TTTTTTAAAATGAAACATCATGTAGTTGCTATTTCGTCATTCGTTTGCTTACTTTTATAGTTCGCATGTACTCTTTCTTATGTAAAACTGTACATTCGATTATTATTTTCAAAATAAAAATTTTATATGTTATGCTTCTTCTAGTTATATTTAATCTTGTTTATTTATCACTCTTAATTATTAAAAATAATCTAACATGAAAAATAGATCAACTAATGCTTTATCAAAACAGATATAAATATCGAAAAACATTATAAAAATTCATGAACGGACTTGTTCGACCTAGCTTTTATATTTTTTAATAACTTCAAGTATTTATTTTACATTATAATATCAGATTTTATCAGGTTAATATCTAATTTGTCTTATCAAAAATTATATAATATTCAAGTACCTAAAATACATAAGAAGACTACAATTACCTGAATACTATACAGTCAAGAAGTAACTTACAGTTGGGAATATTGTACGCGTAATCGCCGAAACACACTACCCAAGGGACCCACTAGCATTACCCTCCCTATCTCCGACATTCTTACAGTTTAATGTATGCAAACGCATTTTGTTTCAAAGCCTAGCTCCCTCAACATTACACGAGCACCCTCCAGCGATGCTCACCTCGCGAACGCCTTCCGAAGTTTTTCCTATCCATATGACACAACACGCCCTTTGATCTTTACAAATGCGAATATAATGTCGGAACTAGTTAAGAGTGATTCCTTTTATCTTTTATCGAACCATATGAAAGCCTGTAAGTTTTTTCTCTTTCTGTTTTCATTGAAATATTTCAGCGAATCTCCTCAAGCGCCTTTATTGTAAAACAAAATACATAACAATGTTTTGTCTTTTCCCATTCAGACTATTGAATATATTTGCGTGTGAAATAAAATAAAGATTGGTGCGTTATGTTTTCAAATTCAAATGTTCCCTTTATTTGTATACAGACATATTTTTTGTATAAATCGTAGAACTCGTTCGTCGAGAGGGAATAATTCATAAGGAATATGCGTTTCAATGTGTCAGGATTTTAATGACTTAATATATCATGGGGGTATTAAAGTCAAGTTAAGCTCACAAACTTGGCATCATCAATCCGTCTGTACTAAAAATACACATCCCCAATGATGAGAAACCTCGACGACAAAGTAAGTATCAACAAAATGCCATGTGGCGTTGTCGTCGAAATAGAATTTGACGCCAACACAGTGCTGTCACACGTGGCACGACCAAAAACAGATCGTTTCCTTTAAAAAGTTAATTTGGCACTTTTTGTGATACAAAAAGAGACATTTTTTATGAATCGCCCCGGCATGTGCCCCTCGTAATGAGACGTTAGTGTGTCACGCCAGAAATGTGACTCTTGTGTTCCGATACTTCTTTATGTTAGGAAATTAACAAAAACTTATACCCATATAACAGGAAACTTGGTAATTTTGTTATTATAATTGTATGGTTGTAGTATACTATGTATAACTATACAATTATAATAATAAAACTACTAAGTATATACATATAGTATACTTAAAAAACCTTTTTGTTTGTTGGAAATTTCAAACCTTAACGAACAGAAGACGAAACCTTAAATAATTTGATTATGTGTTATAAGAAATAGTCTTCTGAATTAAATTCAATCTCTTTTATTAGCTTCGCAATTGGGTTTTTGAAAAAAAAAAAAGTATTGATTTTTTTTATGTATTTTAAAACTTTATTATTAATTATATTGATTTTTAATGCAAAAATCTTGAAAACAATTTTTTTAAATTAATTATAAACAATTAAAAATTGATAAAATTCAAAAACAAATCACGTGACTGTAAACGCGCCACGATTGGTTGGCATACTTGTGACGTCATAATGTTAAAGCAATTTCATAATAGTACAGTGTTTATGGCTATTATCTTTGACTTGATAAAAATATCTCAAATTTATTAGTGAAAAACGATTTGAAAAGTTTATTTTCCACTAACTATGTGTGATAAAGGATTTATAAAAGCAAAATCGGATAATATTCCCGATGTTGATATATTTTTATGATAACTAATTTTTTAAAAAGTGCGGTTTAATTTTGCTGAAGTTCGAGGTGCTAAGACATCAAGGTAAGTCTGTTAAAAAATACTATTCTAAATGAAAATAAGTATTTATTCTCTATTAAATATAATTAATAATTATTTCATTAAATCATTATTAATAAAATGTTATTACAACATTATAAAAAACCAAAATAACATATACTTTAAAAATTTAAATGTAGTCTGATACAGAACCTAGAATATTATAAAATTATGAAAATATCTATTAATTGAATTCCAATTATTAGATAAACATACATATAGATTTACTATTTAATCGCTTTGAATTATCAATTAAAAATTTTTTAATGCTACGATTCTAAAGGTTATGATTTGGAGCCCAGGTAAAAAAAAAAAAAATAATTAACTATACTTATTCGATTTATATACTTAGATAAATAATAATTAATAACAATATTATTATGAATACTTACAACGAAATGATCTTCACAACAAAAAAAAAATTGATTTTGTTTTTGAATAATCTCGGTGCACTGCTTGAAACCATTTCTTTCGACGTTTTTTCGTCTTGTGGAACATTTAAAACATTTTTTCAGGAGTTGTTTTTGTAGTATTTGTACATAATGGTACAAAACAAGAGCGATAACTTTTGAGTTTTGACATTTTTGATTATTTAACAATGCCAACAGAATTTACTAGGTAAAAACTCAAAACACTGTACTAATTATTATATCTCTGTATGCTACAATGAGCAAAAACTAACATTGTGACGTCACACGCGCTCGGGTTTATTGGCGAGCTGTCGGCTTGTCTTCGGTACTGAATTTAAAATTTAATTTTTATTTTGAAATAACTTTTTAAATATTGCAAATAAAAATAAAATAAAAATAGTTTTGTTATAAAACTTATATATGATCTTTCCATTTATCACAAAAAAAAAATGAATTCAAAAACCCAATTATAGGTAGCACTTAAAATATTAAAGAAAGAGCATTCGAATTGCTCGTATTTATTTAAAAAATAAAAAATTCTTACCGAATTTAGCTTTCAAGCAGTTTTTATTCTGTCTTGATTAATGTTAATGTCATTATGAATAGCATTCCAACTTTAATCATGACCTTTTCTTTTGGCTATAAGTTTAATCAATCTTTAAGAAAAGTTTTGATTGGGTTGGATTTCTTTTGTAGTAAATTAGATATTGAAAGTTAATTTAAATCAACTATAATAATATAAACTGCGACTGGGGACTTCACGTACGAAATATTTTAATAAATGTTAATTAAGACGAAGTATTATCAATAATTGATTTATCTTATTATATATTCTATATGTTATATAAAATATCCCATTCATTATATTGTGAAATTCTTACAATTGGCTTTATATTCTTATTGTATCTGTAGCTTAAATATCCCAATTAGGTAAATGATTTACTGTTATTCCCAGAAATAAGTGACGTCAACGCGACAAAATGCTGAGTTCTGACATCGACCTAATTCATCTTACCCTAGTTGATTTATGGACCGTCGCCACTTCACTAATAAATGTAAACAAAATATCAATTTTTTGTCCCAAAAACGTAATTAATGAATGACCGCGACTGATAATTTTAATTGTTCCGAATGCCTCTTCTTGTACTTTGATCCCTAATATAGATTACGTCTTTAGAGGTGACTTTTTTATGCCAGATGTCGCATTTAAGACTCTGAGAACCCCACCCCATAAAAGAACAATAAACTAATTTAAGTTGTATGTGAATAAGTATGATAATCGCTTGTCAAGTAATTTGAGGTGATTAGTAAGCTCTCAGACGTTTTGAGTTACCAGAATTCGGTAAAAAGGCTACGGAATTTTTCGTAATAGACTAAATATTTTAATGAAGGTATTTCGTATAAATAATGTTAATGTGTGAACGCTTGCGTGTTTGTTCATACTGCATTTATCCAACGGAAGTATTGTTAAAATACCATATTGATGGCGTGACCATTGTGGTATGTCGGTTTCCATGTGTTACGAATGTGTTTCATAGCATAGAATTAACATATTCCATATAGGTGTAGTTACATTACAGTGTGTCACTATTATTAATACTTTAATTTCAATTGAAACAAGATACTTTTAAGACTGTTCGTTACTTCAATTATCAGTACAGTTTAATTTTCTTTTTTTACTTTTATTGAAATACCTTTTTTAGGGTTCCGTTCTTAGATTAGCAACATCGCTATACTTCTACTAATAGAATCACAGTATTTTCAATTTAGTCGACTATATTTTGATTTACCGGTCTGTTAGAATCTTTTTATGAAATATAACAGAAGCTTATTAACATTTTGAGTTTATGCTCAAATTATTTCATATAATGTTTTGAAACTTCGCAATGTACTTTTTAAATGATATAATATATTAATGTCAATTCACTCTTTGGCACAATGGACAGCGCCTGTACATATGTAATGTTATATTCCTCAAAGGTATACGAATGTATGTACATATTTAATAAACATAAATTGAAATGCATTGTGTAGCAAACCCCGGCTGATGGATACATGTACAAATATATTCCACTTAGTTGTTTGAATGCCAAGTTTTCGTTAAACTAGCTTTCCAAGAGACCTACATATCAAATAAAAGGCTGTAAAGCAATTAATTACAAAAGTATGTAAAGTTATAGATATAATGTACATATTTAGTAGTAGTCCCGAATTATGAAATAAATTCCCGCATAACTTTATGACAAAAATATTAATATTTACTAAACAGAGATAGTTAAAGCTGGGAACATACAAAAACATGCATTGTACATATTTTTAAAAGAATGGCCAGTGCTCTCAAACCATAAAATTTGATTAAATATTAACTTTAATGCTTAGAAGCACTCAAAGTTTAAGCAAGTTCGCAAAATAATGCGAATGCATTACAAAAGTTGTGAAGACTTAAGGTATTTCATGGATTGTTGTTTGACTTTATCACCTGAGGCACATGTGCTTTTAAAAATTTACAAGAAGCAAACAACAATAAACCAACCAACTATTTGTATACTATGTGTATAGTTTTGACATTTTCTATCAAGTAGTTTGTTTGAAATATATAGAAAATAATATACTATTATAAATATCACTTGTGAAAAATATACAGAAACAAAAATAATGGTCAGTATGAAAATTACTATAATTAACAATAAAATCGTACATGCTTTTTATCATTTCAGTTATTTTGGAGGTACTAACTGTTCTCAATAAATAAATTTATGACAATGAGGCACATATGTTATATTTATTTGTAGTAATTATCGACATGATAATATCTTTTGAAGAAAAACAAGTATATACCTAAAATATATATATCTAAATTAAATATTACAAAATTATTTATTTTCGTCAGATGTAATTGAAGTTCAAGAAAACAAAAATGTTTTTTACTTTGAGCTGATTTAGCTGTTACAATTATACTTTAAATGGTATTAATGTTGACTAATAAATAAATATGGCAAGTTCTAAGACAATCGAAACTGCTTGAAGTTTCTATATTATTTTTGAGTTTTAGTTAAGTTACTTTTTTCCTTCTTTTATTTAAAAATATTATTTTGGATGCAGCTTTACATTTCACTGGATTTTTTATTTTCTGTAAGCCAAATTTTGCAAGGCATTGATATACCTTTCTTTGGGTATTTTAGTAATATAATCTTAGGACCGAAATTTTAAAGGTTATAAAAAATCCTGAATTATTATTGCTGCTTCTAGATCATAAAGCTACTAGGGCGATTATAACTGTTTAATTTGAGCAAAATACAGTTGTTACAGTTTTTTCCCATGTAATATTGGTGTTTATCGTTACTGACATAAAACAATATCCAAGTATCAATGTTCAATGACAGACAAATACGTTGGTCTCAATATATTCAAGATTGAAGAAACTCATTTTTGTAAAACAAGTTTCTTGGTATAAAAATCGTTTTTTAAAAACAATTTAAATTCTCCCTAGTGGTTGCACAGACGTTTAACTTTCCATACTTCCTTATTATAGCAACTTTTCTTTAATTATTTTAATATATTTTTATAGTAGGTATACCGACTTTGTTAATAGCCAACCAACAAAAATATTTAAAAACACCGCTGTTGGCTGCAGTTACGCATTTAAAATCGGTCTTTTTATGTATAAGGTTTTAATTTTATATCTTTTCAGATAATCTGTTAAATTGATCCAGTAAGAAACAAACCTTGATTATGTAGCTAATAAATAATAATCTTATTTTCTTTTTAACCTTAAAAGGATTGAAAAAAAACAAGGCTAGTTATTTGAGTGATTAATAAAGTTGTTTATTTATATAGTATAAATAAATATGATTTTTATTTTACTCTTTTTCACCTCAGTTGTGAATCTATGATAAAATATGCAGTTATTCAAATTGTTATATTTTTAATACAACAGTTTTCACTTAAATTCAAGCCACTGGTAAATTGTGGTTATCAGAGCTATTAAATGCAAGACACACATACATTACTTTTAAGATAATAATAATAAAATGGGGTACTAAAATAAAACGTACAATTTAAAAGATAAGCCTGTACAAGAAACTGCTAGTTGCTACAAAATAATCTACACTTTAAACATATCTAATAAAGTTCAGATTAACAGTGTTGCTTGCTGAGGAAAATTTATATATCATAAATGTTATATTTAGCTCTCAGCTTGCTAATTAGAAGGAGTCTTCGTGGAGCGTTGGCAAAATTATAGTTACGTGCTTAAATGAAATTGCCGTAAAATGTTTCCACGTGATGATACAATTGTATAAATTCAAAACAGCCATATTTACTTATCATCAATTAAATATTTAATATGAAATAAATACATATTTTTTTATCATGAAATATCTCGTGAAACATAAAATAAACAACTAAATAGTGACGACAAATAAGTCATTCCGGACTAAAAAAGATATTAATAATTCAGAATCAGAATGCAGAATATATTAATAAAAGGTCTATGTTTTTTCTGGGTAAAGAATTGCCGGTTATAATTTATTCATAGCATAAAACCTTTTACTATCTGTACTTTATCAAGGTAAGGAGCCTTTCCCGTGAGTCCGCGCCCTACTTTTAATTAGTTGCGAGTTGTTATTATTGTTACGGCAAATGTGCCTGTAAAAATTACCTCGCGCCTTATCACTCGGAGCAAAATTTTACGCCAGTTTATTTCTGAAAATGTATACTGCAAACAAAAGCTCTCATGAAAATATCTTTACAAATTTATCTACGTTCTTTCCTTTTCGGATAATTTCTCGTTACAATGTTTCTTCTCAAATATTCTTTGAGTTCTGGTATCTTGAGATGGTAATTCGTAAATTTTTCATACAAAGTTTTTGATGACTTTTAATTCTAATATTATATGTCTATTTAAACCGAATAATTTTAAGAAGAAAAATAAAGGCACACAAACGTAAAATAAAAGTTATAAGTCTGCAACATACCTATTGCTTTTTCGTATTTCTAAAAAACATATTAGATAAATATGTTTACTATGTGGTTTATTTCAAAAACAAGAGCATAAACAATGGAACGGCAAAGAATTATAATATGAATAGGAATGAAAACATACATGTTTTTCAAATAATATTTTACAACTTAATGCAGTTTTGCTGATTATATTTAATTCAGTGAAACATTAACATTACTAAAAAATATTTTTATTTGCCTTAAATGTCAACCATCAAGACGGGATAAGTTAAGCAAAATGTCGTAAACAACGTTAAAAATAATTGTCTTTGCTTTCTTATTACCTAATTGTTTTGAGTAGCAAGTTCATAAACTCGTAAGAGCCATAATCATGAACGTATATATAATTAAACATTACAAGATGGTACAACACGCTCTTAGTGAGAAACCTCCAGAGGCACTCTTGAGTTTGTTTCTAGGTAAAACTTTGTAATATTCACCTACCATACGATGCGAGTAAACTAATTGCTATATAGAACCGTGTTTCACTGAAAACCACATTACACATATTGTATCTTTTACACTGAATTGTATCTACTGTTCAAGATCAGCCCTCATAGTTACAAAGTTGTTCTACAACATATGTATATATTGTATTTAGACGGAATAACTTTGTTTTGGTGCATCTTGTCTTTTACAGATGATTATTTCTTGTACCATAGGCAAAATTGTTAATCAACTTCCTTCAAACATGTTCTAAAGACTAACAACAAGAGAACTTGCAAGATCCGAATTGTGGTCACCCTAATGTTGTTTACATTGCCGTTAATTAAATAGGGACCGTGTTGACTCAAAGCGGGAAACTGTGGCTTAAGAATCTAAGTAAGATAATAGAAAGGTTGTAAGTGAAATGTAGACATCATTAGCAGAGTACAGAATTAATAAAACTATTTTCTTATATATATATATATATATTAATCAAATGTAGTAAGAAGTTATTTTATATATTAGTTTGATAAGAAATCTTTCCAAGTCCCTAGGTATTTTTATTTATGTTCATGAGTATCCGTACTGACTAACCGTATAAGAAAGGTGAAGGGTAGAAGATGAAAGGGGACTTCCTACGGCTGAGGAAGTTGGCAGTATATTTTCCATCCACCTATCAATATGTGGATGAATATACATCAATATTGATCACTTTGTTGATAAATATATCTCTATAACAAAATTATAAGATTCTAAAATATTTGAACTGCCTTATATCATGAATAGCCCTACAACTATAAATTAAAAAAACAATATATTGTATATATCTAGCTTTAATAACGGATGCGACTTGAAAATAATTTGAGGCTGTCATCAATTCTTATAAAACCTCATTAGTATGTATGATTATTGTTAAAAGTAAAACGAAATCAAAGGAGAATAGAACTATGTTTGAATCTTGTTATAAATATGACGTCTGGATGCACGACGGCAGAATGGGGACTTCAGAATTGATAATTACAGAGTTCAGTGAGTGTGAATCATTGAAGTATGTTATTATGAAGAATCTTTGAGAAATACAGGAGCATTAAGAACAATTGAAGTTTCATTTTAAAATATCATGGACCATACTAGAAGAAGTGACATTTGTAACGTCAGCGAGGCTGGCGTCCCTCTCTTTTAAAAACAAGGAGTCTGTAATAAATCCGATATATACCTACATTATTATAATATAAAATCCTAAATATCTACAAAAAACTTATAAATGTTTATATTTTAAGCGAATATTAAAATACTATTCTATCTCAATTATTATAAAAATCTTAGAACGTAATTCATAAGAGTATATACGTTATATGCATAAACCTAAAAAATAACTGTACTTGATAACAAATTTAATTCATTTATAGTGATTATTATTATTTATAGGGATTATCCTTATAAAGCCCTAAATTTTTATTCATACTGATAACTTGAAAAACTTTCAGTAAAACTGCCATCTACATACAAATATAAGAATCTAACCATCTTGTTTTAAGCGCATTTGTGCGCCATCTATTAGTGAACTCTAAAGTAAGAACCATATTTAAAGTTGAGACTTTGGAACGCTAGATGTCGCTATTCCGAATTGTAAAAGCGCCATCTGGAGATTATTTGTAAATAGAAAACATTGAAAGATATCAACACTACATGTTTGGAGATGGTTGGAGCGAAAAACATGAGATGTCTCTTCTTTGAGTTTATTATTTTCAATTATAAATAAATTAATGAATATAAGTAATTAATTTTTTTTAATTATAATTTTCTAGTATGTCACACTATAAATAATATAAATAATATAAGTTAATATTGTAATTTTTTTACTTATTTTTTATATTTATCAAAAATGCATATCAAGTATATTTTCTGGACTATATAGTTTAAAGATTAAAAAAACATTGAAATTAGAAATTCCAGCTGCGACTCAGTTAATATTTAAGATTTTATAGTTGTCAACTTTTGATTCCTTTTATAATAATTTTAACCTTTCATGTCAAATGTATTGTCAAAACATCATACAAAAA